AACGTGGTTTCCGACCCGTGAATTCCAAGAGAGTTTACTACGCTGGGCTCTACTGAAATTTTACTTTTACTTATGAATGTATATACTTATAAACTTCTTACCTCTGGACCTTTTTAACATTTTTGCCTTGCCCACTCATACCCTATCTAGTTTTACAGCTGGATATAGATTCGATTTATCATCGCTTTATTACTAATTCCACAATGTCTTAAGACTAATTTTTTACATCTTTTAATTTGAAGTTTTTGGACAACGTATCTCTCTTCGCTTGCTTAATTCCAAAGAGTTGCTCTCATCCAACGTTTATAGTTTTTTTATTATATTGTTAAGTCTCACATCCCACCACTGTAGAACCACAATAATGCCTTAAGTAATTAGATATGTATCACTTTAGTTTTAACACCATTGTATTCGAAAATGGTTTTTGTAAATTACAGGCCTAAAAATGGTCTGAAAGCGGTCGCCGTTTTATTTATCTCGTCTTTTTATAGTACTTAATCTTATAATACATACTAATTTTCATTCGACATCCTCGATAACTTTTCATTTAAAAAAATATTCATCGTAAAGTTTACAGTCCAGTCAATTATTCGTAACCTGTTAAAAAATCTTTTTGAAACTGACAAATGCGTAGTAACTAAAATATATTAAAAAATCAATTTGAGAATAAGAAACAAAAACAACAGTTAAAATATCGCGAAATTAAAAGAAGAAACAGTGAAAAGGTTGAACGAAAAGACAACGGAACGAATATGAAGAGAAGAGAGACGAGAAAATATCAAAAAGGTAATCAACCAAGCCACTCAGAATGCAGTAATAATAAAAACAAATAGGAAAATGGAACAATGAGAATGGTAACGATACAGTAAAAGATAAAAACAAAGGCTAAACTGAAATAATTTAGAATTAAGGAAAAGAACATAGAATGTGAAAAAAACAGAAAATATAAGAAACTAACAAGAAAAGTAAGAAGGACTGGATAGACGATAGATACAGGTAGAGGAATAAGCCATTAATAATATTACAAAATAATACAGAAAATGAAGAACGAACTAAAAAGTATGAGCCAAAAGTTAATGAAATTAAAAATTATTAAAAGCCGGTAGCAAATAACGAAATGAAGTAGGTATACAGAAGATGTATGGACTGAAAATACTTTTCTAATTTATTCTGAAGAACAATAGTCCAAGCGGTGGGTAAAGAATAGAAAGAAATAAAATTTGGTGGGATGGTAGACATGGGTCCCCTGATACACCTAAGTTTACGGGGGGTTGCCGCTCGAGGGATGGAGGGATGAAAACACTGCGTCGCGTCGCTTTTCGGGAAATAGCCCCGTTGTGGTAAGTGCTATCGAAAAAAAGTTCGAATTAAATATGTACAGGACAAAATCGTGCACAATTTTAAATTCCATATTTTTTTGTCTGCGACCAATAGTTCCCGCTCTACGACGTGCCAAATTATGAGGTTGATTTGCAATGTTCAACAAAATGAGAATTTCAGCGCGGATTAAGACGAAGATCGCTATGAAACAATTATCTAATTTTTTTTTAAGAGTAATGATTTCTGAGTCTGTAGGTACCCGATTTGATACATGAATCGGTCATTTGAGAAACGACACATGTCACATTTTTGGCCATTTTTTTTTATACCAAAAATACAATATTTAAAGGTAAACACATCTATCCACGCAGTACCATTACTTGCCCGATATACAATCATATGACTTATGCATCACTTAATATCTGATTGCATTTAAAAACAACACAAGTCAGTGACATGTGCTCTTTCTAAATGCAGTGTATCGGTGTAAATTATTTAAAACCATGACATCAACTGCCGAAAGTGATTCTAATAGTGTTCCGACTAATTTATTAAATAAAAAAGGAAACAGAAAGTTATATAAGTGCACAAAATAATAAAAAATGCTAGAATAAATGGTGAAGAATTACAAAAGTGTTGGAGTTTCCGCGAAAAAACAGGGTAATGTTAGTTTTTTTAAGTAGTGTAAAGAGTTTTAACCGATATACTGATGGAGACAGAGAAGTGATTCTTTAAACATTTTAACTCCTGACAACCAAAAATAAGCAGGATGCCTATTTACAAGCATTGATGGCTTGCAATAACGTCAAAGTTAAGAGGCCAAGAAATTTGGAATGACCTAAACTGAAATCTCACTTATTTAAATACCTTATAACATCCTTTTCTGGATGAATTACGATTTGCCAGAAGGCTTTTATAAATATTCATGCAATTGCAATAGCAACGTTTAACTAAGTTAATCGTCAAAGACAAGTGTATTTCTGGAAATACAACTAGGAAATATTGTCGGTCAGATTGAGGACCATTTCAGGAGCTTTCCTACAAAAATAACTATAATAGTACAGAAAAATATCTTAATGAAACAATTAACGTGAAAATTATGTACGATTTATTTAAAACAAAGTATCCGAGTACCAAATTACCCAGATAGCACACGACGTCCATTGGACGTCCATAATTTGTCCAAATAATGTCCTGGATGTCCATGAACTTCATATGGATATTCATTGGACATCCGTTTTCCGTTATCCAATGGAAATACCTATTCAGAAGTCCAATGGATGTCCAAAAAATGTCCATGATGGACACTATAAAAATGACTTATAATAAATTATTATAATTCTTCTTGTATAATTTATTTACTACTAGGTTTTAATTAAAATAAATCAAATAATTTTCCTCTCCTCTCGCCTCTGTTGACAAGATAGAAAAGTAAAAGGCCACTCAGGTCCAACTCAAAGAAGAAAAGAAGAAAGAGGTTAAGAAGAAAACAGCCTATATGTAGCACATAGATGTTTATCTAGTAAGAAAATAAGTATAATAATAAATCATTTAAAAATCTAAAAATTAAAGAGCAAATAGTTTGTTTTAAACTAATATAACCTATCAATTATGTTTTAAACTTTATGTTTTCGATTTACATTCAAACAATCCCTTTCTTTTAGACCTTTTGTCAAATGATGTACCTACCTATTTAAAAAAATGGCTTTACTAAGAGCTAACTAATATGCTGCAAATTCGAGATGATGTCAACACAATTATTATTGTAACTAAGAGGTGAGAAAACTTTCAAAGCAGAAGAAAAGTTTCTATTTGTACTGCATGAGACGTTAGCAGAAGTAGAAGGCTATTTAGAAGATACAAATATTTTTAAAGAAGCTGTAAGTTTTACTTTTATTAAATAAAATAGAATCGTTTTGTAACGTTTAAAAAATAATGCATTGAAAGTGGTTTCATAAGTTATTTCTCTTTTATGTTCACAAATACATATTTTTATTGCAATTTTAGATTCAGCCGTTACCAAAACCAGGGACAAGGACATGACGAACTTATAAAAAGATGGTTTGTTTCAATAATTTCTAAAACCCTTACGAAAGAATTCACACACTATGATGGCATGAAAGTAAAATGGTAATTTAAAGAAACAATAAGCAGTTTTTTGTTTATATGTAAGTATAGGGGTAAAGTACATTAGTCAATGCATATTTTCATATTAGTTAATAATATTTTATCTAAAAATTTTGCATTTTTAACTATCACTTTTGCCTGATCAGGCGTTTATTAAACGATTGATTTAAGACTCAATCTTCGTATGAAATGTAATGTCTTTTTTTAGCTGCCGCTGAGAGTGACAATGGTGCTGCTTAAAAAGTAAGCGAAATAGCCTTAAGAAAATGGCTGAGAAGGTCAACAGAAAGGAGTGCGCATAAAACTAATACATGCTTGATATTATTTATGACAATAAAAATAAGTCAATAGTTGCAATTATTTTATTTCATATTAATATAGGTGGTGATGTCCGTCAGATGTCCATAAATTGTCCAAAAGCAATACAAAAAGAGTCCATATATGGACCTTTCATGGAGTCCAAATGGACGTCCAGGAGTGGGACATTTGTATAGTCCAGTGGATGTCCATTGGATGTCCTTTGGTAAAATGCTGGACGTCCTTTGGACAGCCGATATGTCCATGAATGGACTTCCGATGGACATCCAATGGATTGAATTGTGCTGTCTGGGTAAGTACAAGTACCATTTGAAATTTTTTTAAGAAAGACGTTCCCGATGGTGGGTGAGGTTTTCCAGGTTTTCCTCACCTGTAAGTCAAATGGCACCATCTTTAAGTCGCCCCGGAGCGCCACGGCAAATAATAATAATAGCCGTCCCTTTCCCCGCACAAGCTCAGCTTTTGGGGTTAAAATTCACTCGTAAGGGGGTGAATTAGGGAGAGTATTATTATTATATTATTATTATTATATATGCACCAGACTTTTATTCCTAAATATTAATTTTACCGACAACTGAAAATGAAAACGACGAGAACAATGAATATTTTTTTATTTTTTAATCTTTTTTGGTGACTTTTAAAATATATAATAATAAAACTATATCCCTTTTTACTAACTTTTTATGTTCATTTCAGAAACATCACATGTCACTCTTTTTTAATTAATCATGATTTGTTGCCGATTAATTTTTTTGCTTAAATAATTATTGTATTTTATCCGAAATAGGGCAAGTTTTAAACGTTAAGTGTACAAAACTTATTTTTTAAACACGTTTTGAGATTTTCACTTTTTCTTATTTTTTGAAAAATTATCTACAACGGACATGTGCTGTTTCTTAAATGACCGATTCACATTTGGTCGTATATAATAAATGTTATGATATTTTGAAGCGTGCCCCTACATACTCCGATAAAGCGAAACCACCCACCGCTTGGACACAAGTTCAACAAGTGGATGTAATTAAATAGAAAACCGATGACACTCTATATGGATGACTAAATAAATTTAAATCCTAATTTAAAATGGTAGTATTAATATGTAGCACATTTAAAAATACAGAACTATAAAAAAATATCACACCTTTATACAAATTATCTGAGCAAAGCTTGTATTCACTTTTGCTTAATATTTGTTATAATTACTGACGTTTAAAATTAATTAAAATCAAACCTACTTATTCCAAACTCCAAACTCACGAATAAAACACTTAATTCTATTATAATAATGATTGGTGGCCGGTATACCTTGAAGCACTGATATAAACTGAGTAAATCAAAAGGTTTAATTAAACAAAATATATACTAACCCAAGACGAAACTTTGGCAAATAAACAAGTAAAAAGAAATGTCCATACAACTGTTTTCATATTTATTATATATAATCTATTTGTATAATTACAAATTAACCATTGCGTATGTATTGTTTATTTCAAAATGATATAGTTTGTAGTTAATATGCGTTAAATTTGAATATTTCATTGTCGTAGGAAGCATAGACGGCTTGTATGCATGGGCTGAAGGGTCACAGACTCTCAGTACAAATTATTTAAATATAAATATTTTGTCATCTACCCATACTATTTAAAAAAAGAAATAAAATATTGTCATGCAGATTTTTGGTATCAATTTATTTTAACAACGTTTACAATAACTTTTAACTGATAACATTAAGTATAACGTCTATAATAAAACTGACTGCCTGACGTCAGGATCACCGACTTATATAGCTTTCTTTCACCTTCTCGACTGTCTAGCTTAGATTATATATGGTACAGATAGGCTACCCCTGTATAAATCTATACCTATAATGTTGATGTCGCTCTAATAAAATCATTGTTTTTTTTTTCTAATGCAGGCTTTCTCGCTCATATTATAATCTTCAACAGTAGCGTACGTAAACAGATTGCATTGGGTTATTTTAAATGTGAAAATAGTGACTGTAAATAGATTAAAAAAGTACAAAATAATGTTTTAAAAGATAGGTACGTTTTTATTGAACTGAAAACAAAATATGACATTATTGTCATGTCAAAAAATATAATAAATATTTTATTGCTTCTAAAATATTTAGAATTACAGCAAGGATTTGGTATTCTATAAAATATCTATCCCTGTTGAAAAGCTATACAATGGTAGAACTGAAGAAATACATAAAGCATTTAATTTAAACATGACAAAATATTTTTAATAAGAATAAAGCAAACCAATATATATTTACCTATTTAGCACAAGTAGAAGTATTGCAGGATATTAAAAAAATATATAGGAATTCAATTTACTTTTCTAATGACCTCGTTTAAAATATAAATTATTTAGTTACTTTATTTAAATTAGGTAACTAAATATTCTTATATTACTGATGATAGTTTATATTTTAGGCCATGTACAAATATACAGTATGCGTCCAAAAACTAATAATTTTTGTGATATTGCACATACTTTTTCACACATCTTAATTGTGTCTGTAATGTTTTATTTCTGTTTCGTAAGTCTTCGTAATGACCGATTTTCTAGAAACTTCAATGTAAAGTTACCAAAATATCTAGGTTTTCTGAAATAGGTATTCATATACAATTTAATGTGTCAGCTTAGATCAAATCCAATTTTTGATTTATTTCTTAATTAATGGTGACTCAAATTTTGTTGATGAGAATTTCAGAGTCATACCTTGAACTTAATATTGAAGTGTATGAGGTACTTTTGTTCAAACTATAACTTCTTTTATTTGTTGGCAAGTTTAATACTCTTAACGAATGCCCATAATCAAATAATTTAGTATCTGAAGAAATTACAATACTATATGTATAAAAACATTCAAACATATTATTGGTTCGCCAAATACCTTCTATTTTTTTTTAGGTGATATAGGTTCACCACTACTCTTTTTTGTGTAATACAAAGTCCCTAAAAAGTAAAGATACAATTTTTAAAAGTGCTCGGTGTTATTTAGAAACTTACAAAATTATAAATATATTTGTTGTTGCAAAGCCGTCCTCTAAAAAGTGCATTAAACAAATGTAATATATTCGTTCAACTTCTAACATTTCAGTCCATTCAAGTGCCTCTAATCATAAGTTTCTTCTAATTCCTATTTTAGAACAATAATAATAATTTTATTTTTTTTAATATGCATATTTTATTTTCCTTTTTTCTCCTAAAACGACGCCCATGTTCTTCGGTAAGAAATAATATTAACGAGTGAACGTAACCTCACTTCCTCTTTTATATTTAAAATCACATAAAACACAAGTCTTTTCCTAGTATAAAATAATCTCTACAAATTAAAGTCACTTTTAACACCACCATACTTGAACGAATTTAAGTAAAAACTTAAAAAATTGTCTAAAAATAACTGGAAAAATAAATATAGAGATAGAGATAGAGATATTAATCTATTTTTCTCTAATTAAATTCTTTCATGCGATATCAATGCGACAAAAAAATGGTTTACTGTCCTCTCTGTACTACTCTGAGCTGTCTAGATTATTCTTGACGTGGAATGACATTTCACAAATGTTTCCCCTTCTTCTTTTACTCGTACCTTTACTTATGACGACTGCAGCACGCTGCATGGTGCTGCGTAACATTGCTTCCTCTTCTCTAGTTATTCGTCCCGAATAACTTGATTATTGGTACCTGGTTGGAGCTAACGGGGAGGATATGGTCCACGGCATGGCGCTAACTTTCCAATGTGAACTACTTTGGATGTACTTCCCGCTGATAGCTGAATGCGATAGATGAGATCGCTGATTTTCCTTAAGGACGGCGTAGGGGTCTTCCCAGTTCCGTTGCGATTTCTGACAAATTCCTCCTCGGTACTTGGGATTACATAGCCGTACTAGGTCACCTCTCTCAAAATGTGTCCTTTTGACACCCCTGTCGATTCCTGCTTCTGCTTTATCGCTGTTGGCTTTCAGTCGTTCCCGAACGAATCCGTAGACTTTTGTCCTGCCATTACATACACCATCACATTTTTTTATACCAATCCTCTACATCCCATCTTCAATTGACCCAATAAAATATTTCCCTAACTCGTGCCAGTGTCCTTTTAGTTTTAAATGCTGCTGCTGACCATACCTTGTCTCCAAGACTTGAACGAGAAGCATATAACTGGGTTCCCCTTAAGGGAGTAACTGTAAAACGCTTACTGCCTGTCCTCGCAGCGACACTATCAATGCAGCTGTCATCTTTTTTTAAGCCTAGCCATTGGCTCTAGCTGCAGCTTCAAATTGGAGGCGATACGTTTCCCATGTTGTCTGACCGTCAAACGTGGATGGCTTAATGATCTTGCTAGTAGAGATTTGTGAAACTGGGTTTTGAATATGTCTTGGTTCGATTACAGATGAGGACGAAGTAGTCTTTTTAGTTTCTCTGTTGCTTATCGAAGCTAGGCTACGAATTCTTCTCTCTAACTCAACTAGTTCAGTTCTTATTTGCCTTTAGAACTCTACTCTAGCCTTTTCCTGTTGTTTTAAATTTTTTCGTTGTTGTTCTAAATTAGTTTCTAAATGCTCTTGCTGCTATTCTAAATTAGCTTTTAAATGGTCTTGTTGTTGCTCTAAAATATCTACTCTAATTTTATGCTGATCAACCTCTTGCTTAAAGGTTTCCTAGATTTTTAGCAAAGCATTCATAATTTCTCCCTCAGCTTTCCTACGCCTCTCTTCCTTCTCTTTGTCTTTATTCTTCCTGTGCCTTTCCTTTTCCTCCTCTTCTTCTGTCCTACGCCTTTTCTTTTCCTCCCCTTCTTCCGTTCTATGCCTTTCCTTTTCTTTCTCTTCTTTCTTCTTATGCCTTTCCTTTTTCTCCTCTTCTTCCTTCCTTCGACATTCCTCTTCCTCCTTACGGCGCCTTTTCTTTTCCTCTTCCAATATAAAAAGCCATGCTGGTTGGCCTGAAGTATCCATATCTGTTTCGTACTGAGTGGATCTAGTATTTACCATGAACTTTTATTTTGTATCCCACCGCTATCACCAATTTTACGCAGGTTTTACAATAACTATTAACTGATAATATTAACGACTTATATAGCTTGCTTTCACCTTCTCGTTCCTTCTCGACTGTCTCGATTTTTCTTGACGTGGAATGATATTTCTCGAATATTTCTTCTTCTCCTTTTACTTATTACGACTGCAGCACGCTACAGGGTGCTGGGTAACAATATATTCCACGTCTATTTATGATTTTCAAACGGCTCCTTTGTTTTACTTGTTCTAATCGTAATTTGACAGTACGCCAATGGCATTTAATTCAATTCAATTCAAGCGGTTGGATCGGGCGATGTCGCTCGCGCTCATACGTCTCAGATAAGAAATTTTTACATGCAAGATGTTAACAAAAATTACCACATTGCTCCAGTGTAGACATTGTGTAGAATGTAGACAGTCCATTAAGTATCTTAGTAGTGTTGCAAATGTCTAGATAATTATCCGATTTTCGGATAATTTCGTGGAAAATCGGATAATTTTCGGATAATTCAGTGTTCTACAAAATGGACGTATATCTTATAATATTATGAATGTTTGAAATTATAAATACATTTAAAATCAAATAAATATATTTTCTACATAAAAATCGTTTTATACTACTATACTACTATTAAAGCAATATGGTTTTCTTTTACAGTAGGGTATATTACTGCTTGCAGCCGTGCAGCTGTTCAAAATATTTTAAAAACTAATTTTTCCAGATTTTCTTTGGTTGAAAAATGCAAATGAAATCTTTGAGAAGACCTACTTCCGATTTAATACTTACTCAAGAAGACAAAAGTTAAAAAAATTCATAAACAAGATAATTTTCAAGCCAAATGTATAATAAAAACAAGTAGATGTGTGTTTTAACGAATTAGTAGAGCCATGTGACAAAACTACTACTTGCATGTAGTATTGATTTTTTATATCATTAGTGCCTTTCAAAAGTAGCCCCCCCCGTAGATTAATCCACGATCCGCCAATGGTAGAAACGAAAAATAATGTAGTTTTTAACAAGGAAAATTATTGGGTATAGTGTAAATAGTGAAATATTATGTATTATATTTTTACTTTCCTGTAACCAGTCAGAAAACTGTAGGAATTGATTTTTTTGACCCCAAGTTTTTGACACATCTTTACGTTTTGGGATTCCCTGAATCCATTTTGATTTTTTTGGCGATGATGTCTGTGTGACTCAAAAACGGATGAAGAAATAAATAAATACCAAATTTTAATCTGAATCCAATCTACTGTAAGATGAATAGATTTTGGGTATAGTTGGAGAATCTAGGGGTGGTAATTTCACAGATCACTTACCTTTAGAATGAAAACTGCAATGTTAAAATTCAAGACAGTATTGTAGCGCCGGGTGAGCGTTCTTTGAACTATTTGGATGGAAGTATCGCCATCTTGCGGTCACTTTAGTTAACACAAAACGCGGGAACATTCAAA